CTGGTGCTAGCAGAAGTCGTCATCATCGTCGTCGCCAGGGTCGTCGTCGTGATCGTGGTCGTGGTCGTGGTCGTGCTGGTGGCTGTCGTTTTGTCGGCGGGGGGTGTGCCCCGTCAGCTTTGGCGGGGAGGACGCACCCGCCGACAAAACACCGCTGTCTGCTTGAAGAGCAGGCGAACGCGCGCTCAAAACCCCAAGCCCGAAGAAGCCCAATGCCGCAGCAGCGCCAGCATTCGACGTTCCGCCTGTGGCCCTGCCGGTGGCTCCGGGGCGCGCTGGCCCGTGGCCGACGCGCCTGGGCAGCGCTTGCTGGGCAGCGGCTCGTCTGCGTTCGTGCCACAGTTGGGCCCAGTGCACCTGAAGGGCAAGATCATCATGCAACGATTTGACCAGATGCGGTTTAGCCCCAGCGTCTGAACCAAATGCAACCTAGTAAGGTCAATACGCTTGCGTTGCACTCCCTCCCCCCCAAAAAGCACCGTGACCGCGCGGCTTTCTCGGCACGCTTCGCCAGGCGGCTGTCATAGCACCCTCGCGCCGCATCGTCGTACAGAGTCTCGAAGGCGCGCGTCACGGCGTGGAAGGTCTCCTTACAGCCGCCTTTGTCTGGATGTGCTGTCAGGGCCTGGCGCTTGTAGGCAGAGCGCACCTCTTCCTTCGTGGCATCGTGAGCAATACCCAGCACGCAGTACAGCGCCATGCAAAGCTAGGCGGGCCGACACCCTTCGGGCCAACGCTCGAGCCGCATCAATGTTGATTATCCTCTCTCTGAATCTATATGTATGTATGTGTATGTTAAATCCACCGCCGTGCCGCGAGGCGCGAGTCAGGTCCCTTGAGCATTCAGCCATCAGACATGAGGATTGGGCATTCAGGGCCCGGGACCCAAATTCTCAAATTCCTTGGGGCGTGCCAATGAGGCCCCCAGACGGGCCAAGAGGGCCCCAAGAGGCCACCAAGAGGGCCCCAAGAGGCCCCCAAGACGGTTTATGAGCGACCCGAATCGCCCCCAAGATCGCCCCTAAGATGGTCTCAAGACGGCCCAAGAGGCCCCCAAGACGCCACCAGAGAGAGCTCAAAAAGCACGTCCAAGAGGGCCCTAAAAGGCACACATCATTGATGTTCCTTAGGTTTGTCCAAGATTGTAAATGTCTCGTCTTCACTGGCTCCCGACGCTCCAAGATGCCCCCAGCGGCCCCCAAGATCGCCCCAAGACGGCCCCAGAGGCCCCCACGATTGCCCCCAGACGGCCCACGATTGGCCCCAGACGGTCCTATAGGCCCCCGAAGACGGTCCAAGACGGCTCCAAGAGAGCCCCAAAGAAGGGACGAATCGACATGTCGAGCCCTCCACCCGAAGATGACCCCGAGACCGCCAGCAGGCCTCCAATGGCCCCCCCCCAGAAGCCCCAGGAGGCCTCAGGTCTCAAGAAGCCCCCGAGAGGCCCCAAGACACCCCGGCTTCCAAGAGGCTTCCGAGAGGCTCTGCAAGAGATCACTGCAAGCATCCAAGAGGCCTCTGACCGTCAACCAAGGCGCGGTGGCGGGATGGGCCGAAGGCCACTGCATATATCTATGATCATGCGCACCTCTCCGAGGGAACAGAGCTCAGAGGCGATTCATTGAAGCCGCGTTTCTTTTTCTGGCCACTTCCTTCCGAAAATCCCCAACATTCTGAAAATCGGACGCACCCCTCACGCAGGTCGCGACGTCACGGTCCCAATGCATAGCTTGTTTCAATAATGTTAGCACAAAACCATTAAAATCACAAAGGGAGCTAATGATGTTGCACACGATTCTTTGGGCAAAAATGTTTCACCTGAAACGTCCTCGCAAAATCGAGCCCCGATGCACAGTGCACAGAACACACACACACAACACACAACTCACATAACCCGCAAAACACAACCCGCATACCACAGAACACACAACACTCACACAGAACACAACCGAGACAACAGCCACACACAACCCACATAACACACATACGGACAGACAACACACACACATAACAGACACACGCACACCCTGAACACGCACACACAAAACACACACATATCACACACATACACCACAACACAACACACACACAGACACACACGTATCGCATGCAGACCACACACATAACACACGCAACACACACACACACACACACACACGCACACACAATCCAACACACGCACAACACACAACACACACAACACACATACAACACACAACACACATACAGCCCACGCAGAAGACACAATACTTACACATGACACACAGCAGCGCACAAATTGGGCGTCGCGGCCTCGCGCGCAGCGACGAGGCGGAGAAAATCAAGCCGAGAGATAGAGAGAGAGAGAGACAGAGAACGCGCGCGGCCAGCCCCTCACAGGATAGGGCAACAACAACACACCACACACACACATATACACGCACACACAATACACCTACACACACGCACACACGTCATACGTCACACGTCACACACAACACACACACACACACATCTCGCATTATTGTTTGAATGAGCCTGGGCACGCACGCGCCACTTGAATAGATGTATATGCATGTAGATATACGTTTGTACATATATATATATATAGAGAGAGATAACAAAAAATAATGAGAGAGAGAGAGAGAGAGAGAACAAAAAAAAGAGATGCTACGACCCCCGCTTGCTGGGGTGTCAAGGCGTGTGGGCCAGTTGGCTGTCCCCCTCCTTCTTTCCCCCTCAACACCCAAGACAGCCTCAAGACGGCCCAAGAAGCCCCCAAGACGCCCCAAGAGAGCTCCAGGAGGACCATCAAGGGAGTCCCCAAAGAGGCCCAAATCTTCCCAATCCCACCTGAGAGCGTTCATGTTGACCATGTTCGCACTTGTTCTAGGAAGACAACCTCGCAACAACTCAAGTCAAAGTCACAACTGGGCGTCCGGGCAACTCGACGGAAGCACACGCGACAAGGCAAGCTTGAAGCGCGACGTCTCCAAAGACGGACTGCGAACTCGGATGCGCACAACTCATATGAACCCGAGCAGGCCCGGAGGGAGGAGGAGGAAGAGGAAGGATGAGGAGGAAGGGGGAAGAGGAAATGGCTCGGAATGCCTACATGCATCCGCCCTCGGCGTTGGTATTGCACCCAGGGTGGACGAAACAGCCACGAATCAAACAACCAAAGCTCAAGGGCAACGTCCACACTGAAGACATGATGTGGCTCTACCTCACAACGTGGAACATTTAGAACCGAGGCGACCCCACCGCCAAGGCAAAGAGGCCACGCCCTCGAGAACCGCGAGGCCAGGCGGCGGCGCGATGGAGTAGAAGGTCCTTCCCAGAGGAGAGCAGGAGAGCCCAGAATCGAATCCATGAGTCGAATCGGCGATCGAAATGAATCGGATCGGCGGAAATCGGCAGCCAAGTCGGGAGGAATCGAATCGGCGACAAAATCGGCAGAGTGATTAGTAAGTAGTAAGGCCTCATTGAGACGTCGGAAGCCACATCGGAGCCCGAAGTCGAATCTAATCAGAGTCGGAAGCCATCGACATCGAATCGAGTCGAATCGGAGGAATCGAAACGAGCCCTGGGAGGGTGGTGAGACTTGAGTAGGGCTGGGGGGTCAGGTCTGCAGAACACCCCAAACGGACGTCAAGGTGCGCAACCAGCCTGTTCGGTCAAGCCGAAACTGATGCACAACACCCGGCGTCAAGCCAAAACTTTGGACATGAGCGAACGGCAGGATTTTGCACATCTCCGTCGGCTCAACCGGCGAGGCGTTTGACCACCTTGACGTGCCATGTTTGGTGGCCCTGCAGAGGAAGGCGCTCTCTGGCCCTCGGCCCTACCCAAGGTGAGACGAAGACGACGACAAAAGGAGAGAGCGCCACGGCCGGCCCCTCCTCCAAGGCGCACCGGCCGCCGTGTGGCCAACGGCCACTGCCAAATCACCACAAGGGCTCGACCACAAGAAATCCTCCACAAGAAACCTCCTCCTTCTCCTCCTCCTCCTCGTCATCTGCTCGTGCTCCTCCTCCCCCTCCTCCTCCTGCTCCTCCTCCTCCTCCTCCTTCTCCTCCCCCTCCCCCCCCTCCTCCTCCTCCTCCTCCTCCTCCTCCTCCTCCTCCTCCTCCTCCTCCTCCTCCTCCTCCTCCTCCGTCCGTAGCCATTTTGGTTCAAGGTTTTGACTTTCCTTGCGAAACACGTGGATACCGCTAGTCCGCGGCCAGCTTTCACCTTTCAGGAGGTCCTCCTGCTCCTGGGTGCGATCAGTGGCTCCGTGGGAGTGCGCCCAGGGGAGGAGGTTCTGAGAGCCTCCATCACCCAAGTCTCTGCATGGCACCCAAGCATGCGCGGCCATGGACTCAGCAGTCTTTGCCGATGTGGAAGCGCACGAGCTGCGGTTGCGCCAATAATCACTCGTCGTGGTACTGGTGCAAGCACCGCTACGGTCCCAAGAACGACCAGCCGAGCGAGGCCCAAGCACCCCGCCCCCGCGGGCGTTGGGCGGGCGGCGGGCCGCGGCCTCCTGCGCAGGCTGATGGCGATGGTGCTGATGCTGGAGCTCGCCGAGCTCCACAGCCTGCGCACCCTGGCCTCCAAGATGGGTGACGCCTGCTTGGAGCGCCGATGCCAGCAGGCCATCGCCAAGCTCGAGTCCCCCCCCGCCGCCAAGCCGCTGGCGGCCCAGCTGTCCAGCGTCACGTTCGCCAGAGAGAGGCACGTCAGGAAGCTCGGTGCGGCCATCTCCCAGCCCGACAAGCTCGAGAAGGCGGCGGAGGAGCAGAGGGACCACATCGAGCAGCTCAGCATGCAGCTGGAAGAGTTCTACAGGCAGCACGACCTCGTTCTTGCGCAGCTTCACAAGCCCAAGGACAAGGCTGCCGAGCCCTCCGAGCCCGTCCTGGCCCTGGGCTCTCTCCTCGACGGCTCGTGCGACACGATCGAGGTTGATATGGGCTCCATCTTCGATTTCGGCGATCTGGATGTGCCCCGAGAGGATAAGGAGGTGGTGCAGCGACGCCAACTGGAGCTGGAGGAGCAGATCGCGACCATGGCCAGAGAAGTGTTCCAGAGGGCTGCCGACGTCGCGAAGGCGGTCAAGAAGCAGCATCAGGAACACGCGGAGCGCATGGTCAAGAAGAGGCGCGGCGGCGCAGCCGCAGGAGCGGGAGGTGCTACCGCCGCCGCCGACATCGGGGAGCCAGCCGCCCAGACCGTCTACAAGGGCGGCGGCGACGGCTCCCCCTCCACTGGCGTTGCCGACTCGGGCGCGGCCCCTGGCGCCGACGGCCAGCGCGCCAGCGTGCAGACCAGAGCCGCCCAGATCCCGGCCAAGCGCTCGGCGGCGGCGCGCAAGGGCGCGGGGCGCCCTGCGGCCCCCGCCCCCGGGGCCCGAGTCGGCAGAGGCGGGGGCCTAGCAGCGCTGAGCAGCGGGGCGGCGGGGCCCCCCACCCTGGCCCCGCACCCGACGCCTCCCGCAGCTGCGATCGAGGAGGCGAGTTGCACGGCACTGGCCCAGCACGCAGCGGCTCGGCCACAGATTCCTTCAGCAGTATCACGGAGTGGGGCCCGAAGTCTCTTGGCATCCTGGGGGCCCAGGGCAGACAGTACAATGCAGTGCGTTTCGTCGAGATGCACAAGAAGGCAGCAGATGCCCAGAGCATTCGTACGGAGGTGGCTAAAGACGGATGGAATGCAGTGGTCACCCCCTGCGATTACGTCCTCCAAGTCCACTGCGGGATGCCGCGAGGGAGAGGCCATCTTTGTCCTGAAGCACCTGGCGGCCACATCCTGGGAGAGCGCGCTGAATGCGTCTGCATGCAAGGGCTTCCAGGCGACGGCCCTCCACATGCAGAGGGGGAACGTTGTGGTCATCACGCTTTACCTTTTCCCCGGGGGCAAGCTCGGGGGCATCAACACTGAGCACCGCCGCTCGGTCGGGCGCTTCGTCAAGACGCTTGCCGACCCCTGGGTCATCATCGGAGATTGGAATACCAGCATGGACAAGCTGCAAGCCTCTAAATCTATGAAGCTGCTGGATGGCGTCCTCATCAAGCCTGATGTGGAAGTCACTTGCACCACAGGGCCGGGCAGCTCCCTCATCGATTTCGCGTTTGCGAAGCGTGGCTTCGAGGGGTCGTTGAAGCTGCGAGCCTGCCAGCAGGCCCCATGGAAGACACACGTGGGCCTCGAGCTGGTCATCGCCAGCGGCCACGACCAGTGGCGGCACCAGGTCCTGGTGGTGCCGCAGGCGCTGCCGCCCCGCGAGCGCCCCAAGAAGCAGCCGCAGGAGGGCAGCAAGACTTCGCGCAGGATGCGGGACCAACGTCGGCGACGTGGTGAATGAATGCCTCGATCTCAACCTGCGGACCGCCTTCGAAGATCTCGCCGATGCCTTCGATACGAGCAGCCCCTAGGACCCCTGTGCTGAGCCGCCCGTGGCCTGCCGCCCCCCCAGGAGGCGCGGGAGGAGGCCGAGGCTGCCCTTGGCCCGGTTCGGGCGCCCACGCGCGCGAGCGAGGCCTGGGCCGCCCCAGAGGACGCGAAGGCCAAGGCCGTCACCGACCTCTATGGCCGCTGGGTCAGCACCGCGGAAGAGGCCGTGCTGAAGTTCGAGGGCGTGGGCTCCTCCATGCGCCAGCGATGCAGCGGTCGTGCCGACGTTCTCCAGGTCTGAGCTGGGCGAAGCTCTAGCCATCACCAGGGCGCGCGCACATGCGAGCGCCAGCTGTGAAGTGGTGGTGGGCCCTGGACGTCATCCTCTCGAGGCTGCTGGCGCTGCACAAGCACGACGCGGACCACCAGCAGCAGAGCACCAGCACCTACGCCATCGCGGGGATGCTGGAGCAGTGCGAGAGCCAGCCCAGGGACGTCATGTTCGGGAAGCGCATGCACACCGAGGACATCGATGCGTAGCTGGCAGGGGTGCGATCAAGCATTCGTGCCGACGCGGAGCTGGAGAAGCTGATCGGAGTCGTGGAGCGCACGCATGTGCTGGTGCAGTGGGCCTCTCCCGCAGCCTGGCGGCCGCAGGGCAGGCCTTTGTGCGGCGGACCCAGGACAGTTGGAAGCTGCGCCCTGGTGATGCGCATCGCCACGTCAAGGCGGAGTCGGCCGCGCCCGAGGCCGCGGCCTCACCCGCTGTCCTGACGGCGGCGAAGGCCGAGAGCTGGGAGCCGCGCTGGCAGGGCCCAGCAGCGTCGCGCCCAGACCCCCCCCCCCAGGGCATGCAGCGGCTCTGGAGAGACGCGCAGCGGCAGCCGCTCGAGCCTCTGGAGACGGAGGAGGCGGACAGGGTCGTCGGCCGCCTTTCGGGCTCCAAGGCCCGCGGGGTCGACGCCCTCTCGCCGCTGGACACTCAGAGGCTCCCGGTGCAGGGGCGCCAGGGCCTCGTGGATGTGCTCGACGCCGCCGAGCGGCTCGGCAATTGGCCGCGCCAGCTCCTGCTTACGGTCTGCTGCGCGATTCCGAAGGCCGCGGGGGGCGATCGGGTGATAGGCATGTCGCCCACGACTGCAAGCATTTGGTCTCGTGCGAGGGCGACCATCACAGGTCGATGGCCAGAGGAGCTAGGCGAGTTCTGGGACACGGCTGCGAGGAAGAATAGCGCCCTCAGGGCGGCCTTGGCTCGAGCGGTGATGGACGAATCATCGGTGTCTCTGGGCTTCCTGTCGGCGACTAGCCTGTTAGATGCTGAAAAGTTTGACGACAACGTCAGTTTGCTGCGGCTGATGGAAGCCTCGATGGCCCAAGGTTTTCCCCCCGCGGTTGCCCTCCTGGAAGTTCAGCTTCTCTTGGCGCCGAGGGTGCTCAAATCCAGGACCACCTGCAGCGACATTGTCTTTCCCGAGCGTTCTATAGTTGCGGGGCCGGCGCACGGAGTGAAGCTAGCTAAAGTCTTCCTCGGACCGATCCTGCAGTCTGTTCATGCCGAGGCGTGTCAAAAAGCAGCTGCCCGCACTGTGGCCCACGAGGAGGCGGAAGACGAGGAGGAGGGGGGGGAAGGAGGAGGAGGGGGCGAGGGGGAGGAGAGGAGGGGCGATGGAGAGGAAGGGCAATGAAGAGGAAGAGGAGGAGGAGGAGGAGGAGGAGGAGGAGGAGGAGGAGGAGGAGGAGGAGGAGGAGGAGGGGCGACGAGGAGGAGGGGTGATGATCATGATGATGATGATGATGATGATGATGATGATGATGATGATGATGATGATGATGATGATGATGATGATGATGATGATGATGATGATGATGATCATGATGATGATGATGATGATGATGATGATGATGATGATGATGGTGATGATGATGATAATGATGATGATGATGATGATGTTGATGATGATGATGATGATGATGATGATGATGGTGGTGTTGATGCTGGTGATAATGATACTGATGATGATGACGACGATGATGATGACGACGATGATGATGATGATGATGATGATGATGATGATGGTGATGGCGCCGCAGACTATTGTATCACAGCGCCACCAAACACCTCGCTTGCATATGCCAGCAATTATCGATCTGTTTGCGGCCTCGGCTGCTCTGCGCTGGGGCCACGTCTCTGCTGGTTAAGCATCCGAACCTTGCAAGACGTCCAGAACCATACTTTCCCGCGGAACGGAAAGGAAAAATGATGCCCCACCGAATGTTCGGGAATCGACCGGTTAAGGGGCCAGATAGGATCGCACGAACTCGCGACCTCACCATTCGCCAAAGCCCGGAACCAGACTGCCTGCACAAAGACTCCGCCACGGATCGCACGCAGACCACAACGAGCTGCAGTCAGCACAACAGGTAGGAGTTCCGACCACTGGAACAACTTGGCATAGGATTAGAAAACAGAGTATACTGTGAAACAGCTTCAAGACACCCACACAAGTAACGGAGACCAAACCACAGACATGCCGAAACTGCTACCACCCATACCACTCAGATCTGCCTAAAAATGTCTTGAGAAGGTAGCACTAGGACAAGCCAATTAGGAACGGGAGACATAGCCCAAACTGCAGCGCCAACAGAAACGTGAAGGACTCCACGTACAATTTGGCCCCTGCAGAGGGCATGGACACACGCAATTATCCTCCGAAATAACGTCGTCACTACCGACTTGAAAACTGCTCACTGAATCCATCTGCTGAAAAGGCATCCCAGGAACTCTTGGTCCGCTCGAGCTTGCCAGGCGGAGGTCTGCCATCGAAGTTGGCCTTGAAAAAGTCGTTCAGCTGCTTGCCCGGCGGGGGGTTCGTCGTCCACGGTTTCGCGAGGAAGGTCTGGATCTCGCGCCCCGCGTGCACTTGGCGATGCAGTTCCGAGCTGGCGCCAGGATACCTCCGGCGCCGAGATCCCTTTTGGGGGGCGAGAGAAGCGCGGCCGCCACACTGACCGATGACGGCGCTAGTGGGAAATGCTGGGCGCTACCCGCTGCCGAACTAAAAGGCCCCGAAGTCACCGTCGCCGAGATCGCGGCCAACGCCTGGTTCAGCTGAGAACCAAATGCGCTCGCCAAGATGTCACCCTGGCGCTTGAGCTCTGCATCGCGCGCCTCCTTCTGCCCCCACTCCGCGAAGTCCTTGAACAAGAGTTGCGCGTCGCCAACATATGCTCAGTTCGATTCTTCTGAATCTAGAAAGGCCTGGCGACGACGGGAATAGCCGCGATCGCGGTCGCCGTGGCCGCAGCCGCCACCGCGAGAAACGCGGCTCTTGCGGCTCTCGCGCCAACCGCGATCCCCACGGTCATCGTAATCACGGTCGCCCCCAGCGTCGACCCTGAGGCTGGAAGCCCCTGCCCCGGCCGCCTCGGCCCATGGCACTCCGCCAAGATCGGTCAGCACGGGCCGCCAACCGAACCTGGGGTAACTGTGGCTTGCGAGCGTTGAGCACAGACGGCGACGGATGGAGGGAAAGCGCGAACGTAGCCAGGAAAACTATCGGGTAGCCAAGCTTGAGTCCTTGAGGAGCCCAAGCCCATACTCGAGGGTCACAATCGACATGGGCGCTTTCGATGAGCCAGCCGCGCGACCAGCCACAAGACGACTGAACGCCAGTAAATATGGAATTTCTCCGCCCATCTACCCAAACGCCTCACCGTCAGGATACAGACAACCGGCATCACGCGCAGTCGGATTTCCCGAGGGCTGGAACACGACCGACACTGGCTCCGAGAACATAGTTTCCACGCGCACTTACATACAGTCACTGCAATAACACGACTTGTATAGCGGCGCCACTTCAGGACAGACTCGATTGGAGGCCCCGATCGGAACCCCCAAGCCCTCCAGCTTCGAAACATCCTGGACCATCCAGAACTCCTCATGGGCAAAACGAACGGAAACCGCAGCGACGCTAATCGATTACACAGTGCATCGGCCCAAGAGCCCGAACACTAGGTTCCCAACAACCACCACAGAGCTACAGGTTAGGCCAGCATGCAGGGCCTTCTTCATCGACTCCAAGGAGAGAGGGCCCACCAGGCGCGACTCCACGAACGAGAGAGAGCCCGCAGTGGCCCTATACTGCTTTTCCTACACAATCAGAACTGCATTTACACCTGTTCGCGCGCGAAACTGAAAGCCTGGCCAGCCACCGCGGCGTTTTCACCGCGGCAACGCTCGAACGTCTGGCCATCTTCAAACGTCGAAACACGGGGGCGGTCGTGTGCGTGGCGGCCACAGCGCAGGCAGCACTCATGCAGAGGAGGTGATGGCATGTCTGTGAGATCACGCCCCAGGATCTTGCCAACGTCCCCACGGTTTCGAATCTCGTGACCAACGCTAGATTTCACGAACAGCTCGGACAGCACGGCCAGTGACGTTCAACGACCGAGGGACAAGCACCGACGGCATGTCGATAATGCGTCGTACGCACCAGTGGGCCGATCGCTCGCTCTTCTAGTCGCAAGAAGCTGAAAAGCACTTCGACGTCACGGAGGGAAACAAGGTGGGGGGATGTACGCCGCAAAGCACCCCGCGACGAGCATGGAGGAACTGACGTAGACCCAACTGCGCACGGGCTTCATGCCACCAGGACATCACGAGGACGTAAGAGCGGCTGCTAACGCCGCGAAGCTGTATCTGCCAGCGCCAGGCGAGCGAGATTTGGACCCGTTGCTCCGTCCCCAATAAATCATGCCTTCGTCGAATCCTCATCGCCCCACGTTAAAGCACCACGTTGTCGAACCACTTCGCGGAAACGATCCTCTAGAGCAGACCAAGGCACAGGATGTGGAGGAAAATGGCAAGCATTAGCCCCATGCGTTGAGGCACTTCGAACACGGCGTCGAACCCGAGGCAGAAGCCGATGACGGTGACACCAGTCCGCCCAAGCGCGCTGCAGCAATCGGAACATGTGGGGGGGCGTCGGACCAGTGGGCAGCCCCCACGGGCCACAGAACGCACTCAACGCAGGGGAAGTAGCACATCGCCCAAGCCATGGCGTCGATGCGTTCTAAACATGTGAATGACACCACCCACGAAATATATTCTTCACTTTGAACTTATCAGCCCAAATTGAATTCTTAGCGGGTAAGATACACAGATGAGTACATGAGCCGACGGCGCGCAGGTTCGCACCGCATCTCCCGCAACGCGATCTGGAACAAGCGACGAAGAAATTTCAGACGCCGAAGGAGCCCACGAAGGATAACCAGAGGAGCCACCGTCACTGGTGGTAAACGCACCTGGCCACACAAACGCTTGAGATGATCTTCTGCAGCAAACTGCAAAGAGAAACCACCCATCCTCGACTGAATAGAGCCAGCCAGCTCATGAATATACTTTCTTCTGCAACAGAAGCAAAACCCGTTACAAATACAGCACCAGCAATCTTTGAAGCACGATAGGCCAGTCGCATGATCAAGTACAAGGGTGCTCATGTCCAGCAGGTCCAAAGGACCAAACAGACCAGTATAAATCACCATGCGCTGAAGGTGCACGGATTACAAACGGATCTCTCGAAGATCTCACAGGTTTCTTACGTAGAACATCACAAAATATCGTCGACTGCCACGCTGAAACTGTGGAATGACTACGAAACATCGGGAAACTACGAGAACGTGGTTCAGCATGTGCAGGACGAATACGCACACCACGACGCTGGATATTCTACACGAGTCGGTAATCAACACCTTTACAACTAGGAGGTTGCATCCACGATGGACCCCCCCTTTATCTCAATCGGACACCAAACAACGGGAAGAAAACCAATGCGACCTACCGGCTTCCTCAACGGAGCATATTTGTGCAACTCAGAAGCGCGGCGAGAGTGAAAACCAAACTATACTGGCATGTCATGCTCAGCACACCTCAGAATGAACCCACGACGGTCACGAGCCCGATCAACATTCGCCTTTCCAACATACAGGCAACGATGACCAAGCAACATGTCGGCAGAGGAGCCAACTCCAGCACGCGAACGCAAGTTGGACCGCTGGTGCTCCACGAAGAACCATGCAAGATGTGGAAAGTCAGAAAGGAAGGTCGCCCTTCTGCATCATTTTCCACATGTGAAGAAAAGCCGTCGCTGTCGCCGACAGCGCTACAACAAGACTACATATCGTCCAATACGAACGTGATCGGGAATAGCAGCTCGAAACATCCAAAAACGCTGCCTCACAATACCAATCACATCATTCTGCTGAAGTCTCGTACGAGACCAAGAACCTATGGTATCACCAGAATGCTGGCCACGATGGTCAAAGTGAGATCGAACACCCGCAGTTACTTCTGTCGCCCACGCCTGGCACGTCGTAGGCCCCGGCCAAAGTACACACGTTGGCATCTTACTCAAACAGAAAACAATAATAACAACATGTATAATGAGGAAGGCAATATGGGTGAATAGCTATAAACGACAACAGCAAGGAATCCCCCAGCTACTCAATCAAGAGCACCAAGGAGAACTGTGCCCAATCGCGTTTCTCTGGTACGACCAGGCCACTCTTGCAGCACGTCCAGGAAGAGAAGGCACACGACGCCAATGATGCAGATCAGAGCCAATTCGCCCCTGACACGAAGTCCGCGAGGAAGAAGGCAGTGTAAGGATAGAGCATGCGGTTAGCGAACAAACTGACGGCCACTGTCAATCGGATTACACGCCAGTCTGTAAACGAATGCATCACTGCGCCGCCAAACACCACGTTTGCCTCTGCCGGCGCTCGTCTGTCGGATTGCGGCCTGGGCTGCTCTGCGCAGGGGCCACGTCCCTGCTGGTTCAGCACCCGAGCCCAGCAAGACGGCCAGTGCCACACATGCCTGCGGAACGGACAAGAGAAATAATGATGATGACGATGATGATGAGGGGGAGTAAGAGGGGCGATGATGATGAGGGACGACGATGATGATGATGAGAAGCGATGGTGACGATGCGAATAATGCGGATTATGAGGAGGATGATGATGATGCTGCTGATGATGATGCAGACGATGATGACGATAACGACGATGATGCGAATGATGATGATGATGATGGTGATGATGATAATGATGATGGTAATGATGATGAAGACGATGATGATGGTGATGATGATGATGATGGTGGTGATGGTGATGATGATAATGATAATGATGATGATGATCACGAACGCCACTCTACGGTCAATTAAGATTCGACGCCCAGCATTGCAGAAGAAGATGATGGTGATGGTGATGATGATGATGATGATGATGATGGCGATGATTATGATGATGGTAATGGTGATGACGGTGATGATGGTGATGATGATGGTGGTGATGGTGACGGTGATGGTGATGGTAATGGTGGTGGCAATGATGATGATGATGATGATGATGACGATGATGCTGATGCTGATGATGATGATGATGATTACGCTGACGATGACGATGACGATGAAGATGACGATGATGATAATGATAATGATAATGATAATGATAATGATAATGATGCTGATAATGATGATGATGATGATGATGATGATGATGATGATGATGATGATGATGATGATGATGATGATGGTGGTGGTGGTGATGATGATGATGAGGAGGAGGATCTGCGATAAGGGGGGCGAGAAGATGGGCCCCTCCTCCGCGAAGACGCCGAACGCCCTCTGAAGAAAGGGCCGCGGCGGCGGCGGGGCTGCCGAGGCGGGCGCCGCGTGTAGGCAACAGGGGCCAGCCTCGCGTGGCCTGCGCGGGCCGGCCAGGATGCGGTTCGGCGACAACGGGGCAGGAGGGGGGGAAGAGGAGGAAGAGGAGGAGGAGGAGGAGGAGGAGGAGGAGGAGGAGGAGGAGGCTAGACTCGACCCAAAAGGGTCTTGCACACGAATTCGACCCTCGGGACCTCCCAAACCTCCCAGACTCAGCCCCAGCACGGCGCGGCCGCGCCAGGGGCAACGCTTGAGAGGTCGAGGGGGTCCTCGGGGCCCGAAACACCACGGGCCCTACGGGCCTGGGCCTCCGCCCTGGCCTCCAGAGCCCTGAGCCCCAACCGCTGGGCATCGGCCAGCTGCAGCCCGAAAGAAGGCAGGACTTCCAGGACGCTGGGCCTCTTAGGGCCAGCCGTCGGGGCACCCGTTTGGGCCACCGCTGGAGGCTCGGGGGGAAAATGCCCAGACCAAAACTCGATCTCGGACTCTAAGGGCGACCGCAAGCTCCCAAGAAGCCTGTTCCCTTTGGGGTGCTTCAAGTGCTTCAAAGCGGAATTATTATCTTGGCACTGGGGATCGGGCCTCCTGGACACTTATCCTGGAGGCCTCGTCCCCGTTTATCAGATACATACCCTCGGCACGTTGTACAAAAGAGGAGGTTGCCGCTGGACCGCTGGGCCGATCGTGCCTTTTCATCGACGAAAATGGGCGCCGCGAGCAAAGTGTGCCCGCCGACGCGCCAAGGCGGCAGTCCAGCGGGCACGACATCGGGCTCCGTCGGCGTGCTCCCCGCAGTCGCATGGGAGCTGGCCGCGGCCTCAACGTCGGCACCCTCCTCCACTTCATCCTCGAACTCAGCTGGCCACTGCGGCCACTCTCCAAGGTCAATCAGCCTCAGTGTCACCACGCCCATGGAGTCGAGCACGTTGGTGCGCGAAATGTGCACCTCGTGCGCAGCGGCGAACCGCGCCGCCTGGCGAGCCAGCGCCTGGCAGCCCTCGACAGCGTGGACTTCATCGAGGTTCACCCTGGCCGCCGCCGCGCCCTGCTTGGCTCGCCTGTCGGCGCGAGCATTGCCGTCCAACTCGAACTGCGAGACGAGGCCGTCTGCGACGGCCTTGGGGCCCAAGTGGGCCTTGATCTTGACGACCGTCACGTCCTGCAACTGCTCGGCCTGGCCAGCCCACAGGTGCGCTCGCTGGCTGCTGGCGGCGGCCGCCGCCAACGGGTTGGCCGCGCAGCGCACTGTGGCCATGCAGTCCACGTAGAGCCTGTAGCTGCCCCCTGCCACCTGAGCCGTGAGGACTTTCACGGCGTAGTCCTCGCCGTCCCTGGCCAGCTGCTCGGGGGCTTCCGCAATCGGAACCGCTCCACACGCCTCCGCCGCCAGCCTGCAGGCCGCATCAAAGACCACCACGGACCAGCCCGCGGTGCGCAGGCGCGGGTAGGCCTGGTCGAGGCCCGAGCCGTCCACAAAGACGTGGTGCCCGTGGAGGTGGGGCCCCAGCGTGTACCAGCTCGTCGAACTCTCGAAGTGGTCCGTTGCTGGCCGATCAGGCCTGTCCATCAATTCCGATACGTCGGGGAAAAAGCCCCTGGCGAACAGGTCGGTGAAAGGATGGCCCAGGCTCTCAACTCGATCCGCGGCTCCGCGCAGCGGCTCCTCCAAGTAGTCCCGCCTCCAGGCCTCGTGAGCCTCGTAACGAAATCGCCTGTGGAAGAGCGAGCCGTCCTGGAACCCGCAGAGCTGGCAATTGGACGGCGCCGCGCGCGAGCTATCAGCCGCTGCGACCCTGGCCTGGCACCAGTAGGTGTTCTGGATGAGGCTGCGCAGCGCCCGCTGGTGGTGCTGGCCCCGAACCTCAGACCGATGACTGGCAAGATCCAGGACCGGTTGCCAGAAGGGCGGGATGCTCCAGCCCCACATGCTGGGGCCCTGCCTGGCCACCTCCTCCAGCCCAATGGCGACACGGCGCTGCTGCGCCACCAGGCTGCCAAAGAAGGCAGGAGAATGCCTCCTGACGTCGTAGGCGGCTCCCGTGCTGTCATGGACCAGGTAGGGGTCGCCTTGCACGAAGCCCCAGCCGACGCGCTCCAAGGCGAGGACCAGCGCGCTGATGGGGTCCTTGACCAGCCGCCAGGGATGCCGTTGCTGGGCGAGCGCCAGGCCCCTGGCCAGGCAGGAGCGGGCTGCCGCCTCAGGCAGCAGCGAGGCCCAGATCACCTCGACGTAGGCCATGAGCGCGGCCCTGGTGACGATGGTCAGCGGGCCCCGCTTCCAGCCATTCGCCTGGGCCAGGCTGGCCAGCCCCAAGGCGGCCCCACGGGGAAAGCGCCCTCTCGCCTTGATCGCCCCGACGCGCAGCTGGCGCAGCCTGCCGTTTGGGGCGCCCATGATGGCCGAACCCCAGGTGGCCTTGGCCGTGGGGCCTGCACGGTAGACCCTCGCACGGTCCAGGCAAGGGCGGAACAGACTAGTGAGCTTCCTGCCCTGAGCTCGCGCCTGCTGCTCTCGTGTGGCCGCGGTCGTGACACGGCGGTGCGACCCTGAGATCGCGTCTCCGCCGAGGTCCCTGTGCATGTCCACGAAGTCGTCGGGCCCGAGGTCCCAGCCACGTTGCCGCATCAGCGCCTGGCGCAACTCCTTGCTTGTGGCGAGAGCCTTGGTCTTGCGCCTGCTCAGCGGCAGGTTAGCCTCTCGCACCTTCTCGCAGAAGGCCCTGTAGGTGGCTCCCAGCTGCTGGGCCACCATGGAGCGGGGCCCTGTGACGTGGGCCGACACGTCGTCCACCACGTTGAGCAGCCTGGCAATGGGCGCCGCTGCCGCCGCGGCCCGCAGCGCCGAGAGCAGGGGCAGCTTCGCCGGCGCCGTGGCGCAGGAGCAGCCAGCCACCACCGTGCCGTTGGGCGCCACCGCCTCGCTGAGGCAAGAACTGATGCGCGCCCGTCGCGGCGCCAGGTAGGTGACGCAGAGGGCTCCGAGGAGCCCGAGGTCGAACCCCCAGGCCCGCGCCGCCACCTTGAGCTCGGCGTGGCCGATGTGCTCGTAGTACTTCTGCAGATCCATGTAGATGGAGGCGGCCTCCTCTTGCACGTGCTTGGCGTGGGCCACGAACACATCGTGGAGCCAGGCCGCCTTGTCACATCCTCGCCAGGCCGAGGTCCCCCAAAAGGGGGTTTGCTCCAGCGACCTCTCCCATTTGGCTGTGTAGCCCTGGCGCACTCTTGACCAGATCCTGGCCAGCAGCGACATGGGCCCGATGGGCCGCTGCCCGCCATCGGGCTTCGGCAAGAAGACCATGATGACGGTCCACAGCTCGCCGCAGTAGGGAGAGCGCTCCCAGGAGTTGAGCAGGCTGGCGAGCCTGGCCAGGATGTCCTCTCCCACCTCCAGCAGCAAGCGCGGGTGGAAATTGTCCCAGCCAAGACCCGTGTGCTTGGAGAACTTGCGCGACGCGAGCTTGATGTCGTCCACCGTGATCGGCGGCAACACCCACTCGCCAACGTCCCAAAGACCAGGGTGCTCCTGGCCGCTCCGACTGGGATCAGACCAGAGGGGGAGCCAGTCAGCTAGCACCCTCTCCAGAGCAGGCTGGCCCACCAGAGCATGGTCCACCGCGCCTGCCTCAAGGACGGGGTCGGGCTCTCCATGGGCATTCTTGATAACCCTGTGGGCCAACGAACCCTGGCGTTCAAAGGCCTGCTCCGAGAAGTCATCCCGCTTGAGTTTGCTGGCCTTTGCATCCTCCTTGGTGTGCTTAGCCACAATCTGCTCCATCACGAGTAAGAATTTGTAGCCCAACTCAGTCTGGAGGCCGATCTCGTCCCAGATACTCAAGAACACCGTGCCATCGAACATCGTGATGGACTGCTCCTGGAACTTGACCTTCAAGCGGCTGGCTGACTCGAAAAGCTGCTGCGCTCGCCTGGCCCTGTAGCAGTCGGGCTGGGCGTTGGGCCCGATGGGTCCCAAGTCCCACCTTCTCTTGGACAAGTGGCCCAGCGACAGCCAGAGGTAGGTGACCTCCGATGCTCGATCAAAACGGTTCTCCTGGACCTTGGCCTCCAGAGGAACTGCGACCGTCCTGAGGCCCTTGGACCTGCCCTTGTAGTACCGAACCTCACTGCTGGGCATTCCATGCAAAGCCTGCAGTGCCTCCTCAGCCTGGTCAAACCAGCCCTTGACTACTCCCTCAAGGCCTGAGCCAGGCGGTGGCCAGGGGAGGGTTGCCACTAGCTGGTCGCGCCTGGTCCTGGCCTCCTCGTCGGCCTCGAACTCCAGCCCAAAACCCTTCGGCGCGCGCTGCGTCTGGATCATGGGCCGCTTCCAGCAGCCACGCAACACGAGCGACACTACCTGGTGCGGGCCGCTGGGGGCGTCCGCGTGGCACGTGATGGAGTCCACCCCTCTAGCGCGCGCGAGATGACGAAGTAATCGTACTCATTATCGTTGCATGTGGCCGACCCAGGAGCCAGGACAGCTCCTCCCATGAGCTCAGGCCAGCCTGAGGTGGCCAGCTCGCTGGCCTCAATGTTCCAGTCGCCACCTATGATGAAAGGCTCGTCCAGGTGAGCGCACCACGCGTGGATGTTTTCCAGCAGTTGCCTGTTGGGCCCCTGGAACCCGATCGAGTCGTCGAGGTACACCGAGATCATGGCAATCATGATGCCCTCGCCCACAGAGACTCGACGAGCGATGAACCGATGTGGGGCCCCATCCCAGGGCAGAAGGTATCTCGCGGTGCCCAGCAGCGACGAGGAGACTGTGGCCACTCCCGACGAGACCGCCGTGGCAGCATCTCCAGTCCTCAGGACCCCTGAGGCCGCGAGTCGGTGGCCTCCTGGGCTGGCCCAACCATGGGCCTGCTCCACCGCCGTGTTAGATGTGAAGCGCGTCTCCTGGACGAACATCGCGTGCGGTGCCATCCCCTTCTTCCTCATCCACTCGTGGACACTGGAGGCCGTGTTCCACGTGTTGCCGTTGTAGGTGCACACGGTAAGCTTGCCCTCGAGCTGCCCAGGCGCAGGCACCAGAGCACCCTGGTCGGGAAGCAGGCGATCCAACTGCAGCAACACATCTTCGCCCATCCTAGCCTGGGCCCCGAGACGCTCCTTCCTTTTAAGCCCGTGGGCACCTGCCTGGCAGGAGGGGTCTGCGGTTCCCAGGCTGTAGGCGCGGTCGCCGAGCCCGAAGACTCCATCAGACCTAGAGGAGGAGGAGGAGGAGGAGGAGGAGGAGGAGGAGGAGGAGGAGGAGGAGGGGGAGGAGGAGAAGGGGGGCAGGGGGAGGAGGAGAGGACGAGGAGAAGGAGGAGAGGAGGAGGAGGAGGAGGGCAGAGTCGGATCTCAGGGTTGGGAGGGCCCCGCCTCGGGGCAGGGCAGGGCACGGCCAGAGGCTCGCCCACGCCCGCTCCGGGGCACGGAGGAGAGTGCGCCCAGTGACAGTGATGGCCTGGGGAGCTGCAAGTGCACTGACAGTGATGGCCCAGTGACAGGAGGGGGAGGAGAAAGAGGAGGAGGAGGAGGAGGATAGGGGGGAGGGAGGAGGAGGAGGAGGGAGTGAGGATGAGGAGGTGGAGGGGGGGAACAAGAGGAGGAGGAGGAGGAGGAGGAGGAGGAGGAGGAGGGGGCCGGAGGAGGAGGAGTAGGAGGGAGAGGAGGAGGAGGGGGGAGGGAGGATGAGGAGGGATGAGGAGGAAGAGGAGGAAGGAGGAGGAAGGAGGAGAGGAGAGAGGGAGGAGGGGGGGAGGTGGAGGAGGAGGAAGCAACGGAAGAAAGGAAGGAAGGAAGGAAAAGGAAGAGGAGAAGGGAGGAGAGGAGGAGGAAGAAGGGAAGAAGGAAGGAAGAAGGAAGGAAGTAAGGAAGGAAGGAAGGAAGAAGGAAGGAAAGAAGGAAGGAAGAAAGAGGAGAATGAGGCAGGAGGTGGAGGAGGAGGAAGGAGAAAAGGAGGAGGAGGAGGAGGGATGAGGAGGAGGAAGAGGAGGGAGGAAGAGGAGGATGAGGATCAGGAGAGGAGGGGGAAGAGGAGGAGAGGAGGAGAATAGGAGGAGGACGGGAGGAAGAGGAGTAATTAGGAAGGAGGAGGGGAGGAAGAGGAGGAGGAGGAGGAGAAGGAAGGAAGGAGGAAGGAAGGACAGGAAGGAAGGAAGGAAGGAGGAAAGGAAGGAATGAAGGAAGGAATTAAGGTAAGGAAGAAGGAATAGGAGGAGGGAAGGAGAGGAAGGAGGAGGAGGAGAAGGGGAGGAGGCCGGAGGAAGAAACGGCAGGAGGAAAGGAGGAGAGGAGGAAAGGATGATGATGATGAGATGATGATGATGATGATGATGATGCTGGATGATGTGATGATGATTTGATAAATGATGATGATGATGATGATGTGATGAATGATGATGATGATGCTGATGATGATGGGGATGAATGATGATGATGAGGAGGAGGAGGAGGAGGAGGAGGAGGAGGATAGATGAGGTCTAAGGCTCCGGTCGCGAAGTATCGCAGTGTCGCATTTTCTTCGCAGCGTCGGATCTCAGGGGTCCAGGAGGGGGAGGGGGGGGGGGGGCAAACCCCTGACTTCCGAGAGGGGAGGGGAGCTCCCCCCCCTTCTTTCTCTTCCCCCTCGGGAGGCGAGGCGGGTGAGGAAGAGGGGGTTGGGCACTGGAGGGGGGGAGGAGGGCGGCTCGAGGTTCGGGGTCCTCGGGAGTCTTCCGCCCTCGGTATCTATCTGTGTCACCGCGCCCCTGTGTCACCTATCGGTATCTATCTGTGTCTTCCGCCCTCGGGTGTCTTCCGCCCTCGGTATCGCGCCCCGCGATGCGCGACGCGCGATTATCTTCGCGCCCTTGAGAAGGGCAACCGCTCTGGCCCAGATCGCGACGCGGAAAGTGGGATATCTTCGCGACCCCGCGGGGGACCTAACTTTCTGGGTCTCCCAGGAGATCTCTCATCGCCACTGGCGGATTTCCTTCGATAATCTGGCCCGGGCACGCCCCAGAGAGGTCCAGGGAACCCATTCCTGAGAGCAGCAGGAGGAGCACGAGGAGGAGGAGAAGGAGGCGGAGGAGGAGGAGGAGGAGGAGGAGGAGGAGGAGGACGAGGAGGAGGAGAGGAGAGGAGGAGAGGAACGAGGGAGGAGGAGGAGGCGGAGGAGGAGGAGGAAGAGGAGGAGGAGGAGGAGGGGGCAGGAGGAGGAGGAGGAAGGAGGAGGAGGAGGAGGAGAGGAGGAGGAGGAGGCGGCGGAGGAGGGGACGAGGAGGAGGAGGAGGAGCAGGAGGAGGAGGAGGAGCAGGAAGAAGAGAAGGGGAGGAGGAGGAGGAGGAGGAGGAGGAGGAGGAAGAGGAGGAGGAGGAGGAGGAAGGAGGAGGAGGAGGAGGAGGGGAAAGGGACAAGGAGGAAGGAGGGAGGATCGGCTCGTAGAGCAACAGCGGCGAAAATGAAGGAAAGGAGGAGGAGGAGGAGAGGAGGAGGAGGGAAGAGTGGCAAGGAGGAGGAAGAGGAGGAAAATGATGATGGCGAGGAGAAACAGAAGGAGCAGGAGGAGGAGGACCAGCAGCCAACCGCGCGTAAAACCATGGCCGCGCGTGCAACCACATATCGAGGGACAGGCACATGAGATGAGGACGGGGAGGGGGGAGAGACGCGAAGGCTGGAGAAGGATGATCAAGAGAGGACGAAGGGATCAATCGGGGCATGCCGAGGAGGAGGGCGGAGGACCGGAGGACATCCAAGATGCGCAAACGAGGCTGCCATACAACCTCGTGTCCCGAACCCCCTCCCCATAGAAAGCCTCTGCGTGCCTTCCTTCGCGCTGCACGAGGCGCCTCCTCTGGAAGAGCAGCGCCATCCGGTGGGCCTGTCACTCTGGCGAGGGCCCCATTTCGAAGAGGGATTCGACCTTGCTCCCTCCAAGCGAATAGTAACGAATGCAGGAGGGAGTGATCATACAGCTCAGCGAAGTTCGGCGGCGGGCGAGGGGGGGAAGTGAGCAGGAGAAGGCACTCTCAGAAGGTTCGGTAGCCCCCCGGTTTTCCGAGAAGCTTTCTTAGCCTTCCCCGAAGACAGAAACAGCTTCTCAGAAGGCGCGAGGGCCTCGGAGAAGTCCCGCCACCTTCTGAGAAGGCCTCCTCCTTCTCGTTTCCCCCCCTTCGCTCGCCGCCGAGAAGTGTCCAGCGAGATCCCCATTGACTTTGAAGAAGGACCGCCCCCACACCTGTGCAATTACTGCTGCGCAAGGGTGCGCTCCTGGGCATGAGCTTCGAGGGAGTCTCAAAAGCGAGAGCCCCGATCTTGACAAGGGTCCGCCCTCCATCCATGCAGTCGTGTGTAAGTTCCAAGTCTCCCAAATTTGAAGAAACTCTCGAGCGAGGGCCCCATTTTGAGAAGGACCCGCCCCCACCCCCAAGAACTGTAACCAGTCTTTGAAGCGAATGTGTGCGCGGCGCCACGGCGCGAGCCCCATCTTGAAAAGAAACACCGCCCTCCGTCCTCCTAGCTGGCGCCGTTCTGCGCAACGAATGCGCGCGGCGCTGAATATGGCGAGAGCCCCCTTTTGGAGAGGAGCCGCCCTCCATCCTGGTAGCTGTAGCAGTCTAGAAGAACAAAAAAAAAACGATTGCGCGCAGCACCAGGGCGAGAGCCACAGTCGCAGGGTGAGGAGGCGTAGGAGGTAGGAGGAGGCCTCCCCCTCCTCTCCCCTCCCCCTCGGCCGAGCGGGCGATGGAGCAGCCGGGCGGGGCGCCTCCACATTCTGCCAGTTTCCAAACCGGCAGAAGAAGTCCAGGTCGCTCTCCAGCGCCTCGGCTGGGGGTCAGGCGCTGCAAAACACTGGCCCCCCTTCGCCCTCCTACCTCCTCCACCTTCCAGGTCTTTTCCGGGTCTGTCATTCCTCCTCCTCCTCCTCCTCCTCCTCCTCCTCCTTTTTTACCCCTTTCCATCCCTTCCTCCTCCTCATCCTCCTCCTCCTCCTCTCTCCTTCCCTCTCCTCCTCCTCCGCTCCTGCTCCTCTCTCCGTCCCTTCCTCCTCCTCCGCACCTCCTCCCCTCCCTCCTCTCCACCTCCTCATGCCTCCTCTCCTCATCCTGCTCCTCATCCTCCTCCTCCTCCTCCTCCGCCTCCTCCTCCTCGCCACCTCCTCCTCCCCCTCCCCCTCCTCCTCCACACCACACCACCGCCACCACCACAACCCACCACCACCACCACCACACCACACACACAACACCCGCAGCAGCAGCAGCAGCAGCATCATCATCATCATCATCTCATCTCATCATCATATATCATCATCCTAATCATCATTCATCATCCTCATATCATCATCATCTCATCATCATCATTCATCATCATCATATCATCATCCATCATCAGCATCAGCATCAGATCATTCATCATCATCATCATCCATCATCATCATCATCATCATCATAATCATCATCATCATCATCAGCAGCATCATCATCATCATCAGCATCATCACCACCACCACCATCATCATCATCATCACCACCATCATCATCATCATCAGCATCATCATGAGCATCATCATCATCATCATCATCATCATCATCATCATCATCATCATCATCACCATCAGCATCATCATCAGCATCATCATCACCACCACCATAATCATCATCAGCAGCATCATCATCATCGTCATCATCATCAACATCAGCATCATCATCATCATCAGCAGCATCAGCATCATCATCAGCAGCATCATCAGCATCATCATAATACGCATCCTCATCCTCATCCTCATCCTTATCCTCTTTCTTCATCTGCCTCCTCATCCTCATCCTAAGTGATCCTCCTCCTCAACATCAGCATTGTCCCTCCGCTCCCTCTTCCTCCTCTTCCTTGCCATCGGGATACCATGATTCTCCTCTGTCCAACTGCTCATCCTCGTCTTCCCCCTCCTCCTCCTCCACTCTCCTCCTCCTCCTCCTCCTGCTCCCCCTTGTCCCTCCTCCTCCTCCTCCTCATCCTCCTCATCCTCATCCTCCTCATCATCATCGTCAACAGCAACAGCATCATCAGCAGCATCATCATAATCAGCATCAGCATCATCACCACCACCATCATCATCATGATCAACATCATCATACGCATCCTTATACTCAACCCCCTCCTCATCTTCCTCCTCCTCCTCCTCCTCCTCCCCCTCCGTCTCCTCCTCGACCTCGCCTCCTCCTCCTCCTCCTCCTCCTCGCCCGCCTCCTCCTACTCATCCTCATACTGGCGGTGTCCCTGCTATCATTCCTTCTCCCGCTCCTGCGGAGGCTCCTGTTCCATCTCCCGCCCACGTTGCCTCCCCTGGCCTTGCTCCAAGTCCTGCCGCTGCCCCTGCAGCTTCCACTGCCACTTCCTTATCCTCGTCTGAATTTGCCCGCTTCCTCCTCCTCCCCTCCTTAACCCTCATCCCCCTTTCCCCCCCCCCCCTCCTGCTCCTCCTCCTCCTCCTCCTGCTCCTCCTCCTCCTTCTCCTCCTCATCCTCGTCTTCCTCTGTCTCCTCTTCCTCCTTCTCCTCCTCCTCTTCCTCCTCCTCCTCATCATCAGCATCAGCATCAGCATCAGCATCAGCATCAGCAGCAGCAGCAGCAGCATCAGCATCAGCATCATCATCATCATCATCATCATCATCATCATCATCATCATCATCATCATCAGCAGCAGCAGCAGCAGCAGCATCATCACCATCCTCAGCATCATCATCGTCATCATCATCAGTATCGTCAGCATCATCAGCATCATCATCGTAATCAGCAACAGCACCATCATCATAATCAGCATCATCAACATCATGATCAGAATCAGCAGCACCATCGTCATCAGCATCAACATCAGCATCATCAGCATCATCATCGTCATCATCATCAGCATCAGCATCAGCATCATCAGCATCATCATCGTCATGTCTCGTCTCCCGCTCGGTGCTACTGCTCCAACTCTCGTCCCCGCTCCTGCTCCACCTGCTCATGTTGCCGTCGCTGCTGGTCATCCTCCTCCTCCTCATCATCAGCAGCAGCATCAGCAGCATCATCATCAGCATCATCAGCATCATCATCACCATCATCATCTTCATCATCATCTTCATCCTCGTCATCATCCTCATCCTCATCCTCATCCTCATCCTCATCCTCATTAACATCATCATCACCATCATCATCATCATCATCATCATCAACATCATCTGCATCAACATCATCATCACCATCATCATCATCCTCATCCTCATCATCCTCATCATCATCATCATCATCAGCATCAGCATCAGCATCATCAACATCATCACCATCACCATCAGCATCATCATCATCCTCATCAGCATCATCATCTGCATCAACATCATCATCCCTGCTCTTCCTCCTCCCTCATCCCTCCTCGTCATCCTGCATCCTGTCTCGTCCTTCATCCGTTGCTACTGCTCCAAGTCTCGTCCCTACTCGTGCTCCTGCTCCACCTGCTCCTGCTGCCGCCGCTGCTGACGATCCCCCACCGTCCTCCTCCTCCTCATCCTCCTCCTCCTCCCACTCCTCCTGATCCGCTCGCCGCTAGCTCCCAACACTTGTAAGCCCTGGAACGCCCAGGGCTCCGTCGCTGCAGTGGCTCAAGGACCGGATTCTGTCCGCCTGCCCTGCTCTGGCTCCGAGAGCTTCTGTCTAAAGGCCACGGGAGCGCCCATCCCTCGAACTGGCGGCTCCTTCAGGCGAGGCTTTTGGAGCCAGGCTTGGTATGGATGATCCACCCCGTTATGGTTTCCCACCCTGCTTGCATAGCGGGCATGCTCGCCTCTCCCACCCATGTTTTATGGTACAGGGGTGGGTGCACTGTCTGTGGACGGGCCGCACGCTATGTATCCCAAGCAGCTGCAGGCCCTGCAGCGCGTTCGAGGAAGTGTGCCCCCACAGCAGAGATCAACTTCTTGTCGAGCTCCAGCGTCTGGCCTCAACCACCGATCCCGCCGTTCCCAGGGGCTTCGGGGTACAGATGAGGTCACCCGCCCAGGGCGCTCTGTGCTGGCTCCCGCCCCCCTCGGACAATCCAGCCTCCCCTGGCCATCACTGCTCTCACTTACGATGAAATGCTGGGGTCTTCATCGTCCCCTTATGTGTAAACAGTGAAGGTTTTACGTGTGTGTGTGTGTGTCTATGTGTATGTGTCTTCAGAGCATTGCTAACTGATGCAGGAGGTGAACAAAAACTCCTCCTCCGCCTCCTCCTATTCCTCCTCCTCCTCATCCTCCTCCTCCGCCTCCTCCTCCTCCCCCTTCCCCTGCTGTTGCCACACCTCAGAAAGTCGCCAGATCGCGAAGCGGCGGCGAGGCGTCCAGCTCCTCCTCCTCCTCTTCCTCCTCCTCCTCCTCCTCCTCTCCCTCCTCCTTCTCATCATCATCATCATCATCATCATCATCATCATCATCATCATCATCATCATCATCATCATCATCATCATCATCATCATCGTCATCATCATCATCATCATCATCATCATCATCAGCATCAGCATCAGCATCAGCATCAGCATCATCATCATCATCATCAGCATCAGCATCATCATCATCCTCATCCTCATCCTCCTCTGATATGCCTCCTCCTCATCATCTCCACTTCCTCATGCTCCTCTTGCTCGTTCTGCTCGCCATCGTCCTTCCCCTGCCTCCCCGACTCCCCTCCTTCTCGTCGTCCTCCTCCTGCGCTTCCTGCTCATCCTCCTTATCTTCATCCTCCTCCTCCTGCACCTCCTCCTCCTCCTCCTCCTACTCCTCCTCCCCTTGCTCATCCTCATCGTCATCGTCATCATCATCATCATCATCATCATCATCATCATCATCATCATCAACATCATCAACATCATCAGCATCATCGTCATCAGCATCATCCCCACCATCATCCTCCTCATCCTCCTCATCATCGTCGTCATCATCATCATCACCATCGTCACCACCATCATCAGCATCAGCAGCAGCATCATCACCATCACCTTCATCATCATCATCATCATCATCATCATCATCATCATCATCATCATCATGATCATGATCATGATCATCATCATCACCCACATAATCGTCATCAACTTAGCATCATCAGCATAATCATCATCATCATCATCAGCATCAGCATCGTCATCACATTCATCACCATTATCACCACCGCCATCGCCATGACCAGCATCAGCATCGATATTATGGTCATTATCATGCTCATAATCATTACTGGCCACAACTACCATCATCAGCATTCTCACTCTCTGCCAGCAGCATCATCATCATCAGCATCATCATCAGCAGCATCAGCATCAGTATCAGCATCAGCACCATTATCACCATCATCCTCGTCATGATCATCGTCACTATCGTCGTCAACAGCAGCATCGCCACCATCATCATCAGCATGATAATCACTATCATCATCACCATCATCATCACCATCATCATCACAACCATCATCATCATCATCACCATCATCAGCATCATCAGCATCAGCATCAGCATCATCAGCAGCATCATCATCATCGTCATCATCATCATCATCATCATCATCATCAGCATCAGCATCAGCATCACCATCATCATCCCCCTCGATCGTGCTGGTGTTGGGAAAGGACCCACGTCCGGTGCCTCGGCGGGGGGCAAGTAGAGCTCCAGCGGCCTGCCGCCGCACGGCCCGTCGTCTCCGCGCCAGGGCCGCGCGGCGCCTGGCTGGAGCCAAGCCCCAGGCCGCCTCCCTGTACCTTCCTCCATGTCCCTTCCTCAATCTCCCTGCCTCCATCTTCCTCCTTCTCCCTCTCTCCCTGCCTGGCTCCCTCCCTCCCTCCCTCCATCCATCCTCCCGCCACCTCCGTTCCTCTTCCCGCTGAAGAACTCCTCCCTGTCGCACCCCGAGACGGGTCGAAAGGGCGGGGCTGGGCGTTTCGCTTGAGACTTCCTCATCATGTATGATCCTGGAGCTCAAACATGGAAACAGTTTCACGGATGGTGGGCGGGCCGTTTTCAAAATGTGGCTCTCGCCTAAGCGCCGTGCACATATGTCTTAAATGCTTGCAAGAGTTTCACGGATGGAGGGCGGGCCGTTTTCAAAATGTGGCTCTCGCCTGAGCGCCGCGCAGATCCGTCTTAAATCGTTGCAGGAGCTTCGCTGATGGAGGGCGGTTCGTTTTCAAAATGTGGCTCTCGCCTCAGCGCCGCGCACATTCGTCTCAACATGTTGCAGCAACTTCAAGCATTATCATGGCCCACGTCCCAGAAAACGGTGTTTTGGCACGATGTCGAACTGTCAGGGCGTAACAGGTACGTTGGTTCGTGGTGTTGATGTCCCAGGAACAGTGTCCTGAGACGATTCAGGGTCGTCAAGGCGCAACAGTAACAGTAGCTCGCGAAGCTGAAGTCCCAGGAAAGATGTTCTGGCGCAGTTCAAGATGTTCAAACGGCTGTTTTCCACTAGGGCACTTTCTTCAATGAAATGAACACCTGCACGGGCCTATGAAGAGGAACTTGGAGAGGGGGTTGATTGCAATATCGTTGGTGAATCTGGGGTTTGCACTGGCCCTCCTCCTCCACCTCCTCCTCCTCCCTGTGATCGTTTTTTGCTATGCGGCGTTTCGACATTGGGAGGAAGGGGGGGGAGGGGGGGTCTGGCTCCAGACCTCTGCTTAGTGCGTTTGTTTGCAAGAGCGCGGTCTCTGGGGGAGACTCCACCCGCTCGGAACAGGCGCCAAAAAAACACCCAAGATCTATTCCATGGAGGGAAGGGGGGGGCGCCGATCGGCAAAACAATAAATAACACACGATCACCTTTTCCTCCTCCTGATCTTCATCCGTTTCCTCCGACCGCCTACGACCACCTCTTCCACCTCCTCTGCCTCCTCCTCCTCCTCCTCCTCCTCCTCCGCCTCCCCCTCCCCCTCCCCTCTCCTCTCCTCATCCTCCCCTTCCTCCTCCTCCTCCTCCTCCTACTCCTCCCTCTCTCCTCCTCTCCCCTCCTCCTACTCCTCCTCCTCCCCTCTCTCCTCTCCCGCCCTCCCTCCCTCCCTCCCTCCCTCCTTCCCCCGCCGTCTCAATCCCCCTGTTTCTCCCTCCTTCCCTCCCTCCCTCACTCCCTACCTCCTCCTCCCCCACTCATTCCTCGTGCCGCTCAGGGAGGCCGCGGCGGGAGGAGGAGCAGTGAGGAAGGAGGAAGGACGGGGGGAGAGGAGGAAGAGGACGAGGAGGAGCAGGAGCAGGGAGGAGGAGGAGGGGGAGGGGGAGGAGGAGGAGGAGAAGGAGGAGGAAGAGGAGGAGGAGGAGGAAAAGGGGAGGAGGAGGAGGAGGACGAGGAGGAGAATGAGGAGGAAAAGGAGGAGGAGGAGGAGGAGGAGGAGGAGGGGGGTGAGGGAGGAGGAGGAGGAGGAATTGGGGGGAGGAGACGAAAAAGGTGGAAGAGGACCAACACAAACCGAACATGTACCAACGATGCTGCATAACACCCTCCAGCCCAAGGTCCACATCCCAAGAAGTCCTAGCGACCAGTGTTGTTCACTGCACGTCCACTTGAAAGACAAGGGCCACATTGACCCGCAGTTCGGGCGGGGGCTCCGTTTTGAAAGGTAGGGGCTGCCCCTGGGCTTTGAAGCTAGTAGAAGGAATGTGTCGAAATGCGGTATCAAACTCCAGGAAGTGTTCAGCGACGGCCCAGTTTTGACAGTGAGCCTCCGCCATCAAAATATGTACACCGATACTCTCCAATGGATTGCCTCTGGGGAGGGAGCCGGTGTACAAATCACCATTTGGAGCCAGCGACTTTCTCAACACCGCCATCCCCTCTGAAGGCGCATGCAAAGTTCATCGGAGGGCGTCTGTGTATATATTTTCGTGGCGGAGAGCCGCCCTCCTCCCGTGCAGGCATTGCACAATTTGAAGCACCTGGCCACAAGTCTGAGCAGCAAAGGCTGACGCGAGAGCCCCATTCTGAATACCACCCGCCCCCCCTCCGTGTGCGGGGGAAGGAGGGATGGAGGGAGGGCGGGAGAGGAGGAGGAGGCCGCAGCGGGAGGAGGAGCAGGGAGAAAGGAGGAAGGAGGGGAGGAGGGAGAGGAGGAGAAGGAGGAGGAGGAGGCGGAGGAGGAGAAGGAGGAGGCGAGAGCCCGTTTTTGAAAACCGCTCGCCCCCCCATCCGTGTAACTGCTGGATCTATATAAGACAACTGTGCGCGGCGCTTGGGCGAGTAAGCCGGCCGGCCGCCCTCCACGTGTGCACGGCGCCCTCGCCCTCCTCCACCTGCTCGTCGTTGCCGCTGCCGCTGACCTCCTTCTCCTCGTTTCTCTCCCCTCCTCCTCCCTCCTCCTCTCCCCCCTCCTACTCCTCCTCCTCCTCCTACTCCTCCTCTCCTCCTCCTCCTCCTCCTCCTCCTCCTCCTCCTCCTCCTCCTCCTCCTCCTCCTCCTCCTCCGCCCTCCTCTCCCCCTTCCTCCTCCTCCTCCTCCTCTCCTCAATGCCTCCCCTCTTCCTCCTCCTTCCCTCCTCCTCCTCCTCCTCCTCCTCATCTCCTCCAACTCCTCCTCCTTCTTCCTCCGCCTCCTCTTACTCTCCTCCTCCTCCTCCTCCTCATAATCATCATCATCATCATCCAGCATCATCATCATCATCATCATCATCATCGTCCTCATCATCATCATCATCATCATCATCATCATCATCATCATCATCATCATCATCAGCATCATCATCATCATCATCATCATCATCATCATCATCATCATCATCATCCCCCTCCTCCTCATCCACCACCTCCTCCTCCTCCTCTTCTTCCTCCTCCTCTTCCTTTTTGCGGCGGGCAAACTTCAAGTGCTATGCTTGTAGCGTTCGGTGGCAATGAACACATTAAGTAAGCCGATTTAGGCAGTAGGCCTGAATGAAGGCTGCAGGATAGTGCGGTAGAGCGAAATGCAAAGAAAATTGGAAAAGACTAGGTTCCCTTTGGGGCTCAGGGGAACTAAGCGAACAGCCAGTGAACGAGTAGTGCTCCCCCTCACCTCCCAAACCCTCCTACACATCCGATCCCGTGCGTGACAAAGGCCCTCACCGAGGGCATTTCTCAGTTCTAACCCTCACCCAGGGTAGCTGGGAGTCCACTGTTAAAATGCCCTCACCGAGAGAGTAAACATAATCAGCGCAGACGTCCCCGCCAATCCTCCTAAAACGAAGACACCACCACCACCCCCACCTCCGCACTGCCTCCACCGAGGGTCCTGAGCAAGCCAAGATCATGCTCAGTAGGGCTTGCCGCTGCGCTAATCAGGCGTCGGCACGTTCAGCTCCGTAGCGTTGGCCCTGGTGGTCAACACGCTCGCAGCGGTCGACTCGCGCGGTCCTCCTCCTCCTCCTCCTCCTCCTGCCTCCTCCTCCTCCTCCTCCTCCTCCTCCTGCTCCTGCTCCTCCTCCTCCTCCTCCTCCTCCTCCTCCTCCTCCCCCTCCTCCTCCCCCTCCTCCTCCTCCCACCCTCCTTCTTCCCTCCCCTCCCCCCACACCGCTCCTCTCCACGGGTCGGGGCGGCGACCTCCGAAGCCGTGGCCTCGCTGTGCCCCTCCAGCGGCCTCGACGTCGACCACAACGGCGCCGACGACGGCGCCGTTGACGACGGCGACGACCACCACGACTGAGATCACCAGAACGACGGTGACGGACGACGGAACACGACGACGACAACGACGACGACGACGACGACGGCGGCGGCGGCGGCGGCGGAAGCGGCGGCGGCGGAAGCGGCGGCGGCGGCGTTGGCGGCGACGCAACGACGACGACGACGACGGCAGCGACGGCGACGACGGCGGCGACGGCGACGACGGCGACGGCGACGGCCACGACGATGACGGAGGCCCGCCTTCCGACGCCGCGCCTCTGGGCACGGTCGGCAGCACGGCTCCGTTCGCGGCCGCGTTCTCCGCCGCCGCCGCCAGCGACGTGGGCTCCACGTCCACGCCTGCCCCGCGCCCGGGGGGCCACCGCGGAGGGATACGGGCTCTCCACAGGGCGAGGACGAGGGCAAGACGACGACGACGACGACGGCAAGACGACGACGACGACGACGACGGCAAGACGACGACGACGACGCCGACGCCGACGCCGACGACGCCGACGACGCCGACGACGCCGTCGGCGGCGGCGGCGACGTGGTCGTGCCCGGCGATGCGCGATGCGCGACGACGACGACGCCGACGCCGACGACGACGACGACGACGGCGACGACGGCGACGGCGACGACGACGACGACGATCGCGATCGCGACCACTTTGACGACGGGGGCAAACCCGCGCCGCCCCGCGCCTGCGGCCCGCGCCGCCCCGAGGGCGAGGGCCGCGATGCCCAGCACGCCGCTGCCGCAGCCGTAGTCGCACACCGTCGTGCCCGGGCGCGCGAGGAGCGCGCGCCCAGCGGCGGAAGCAAGGTAGCCGAGAACCTGCCAGGGAGGGCACTTGCTCGAGGGGAGGAGGAGGAGACGGGGAGGAAGAGGTGGGGAAGAGGCGGGGAGGATGAGGAGACGGGGAGGAAGAGACGGATGCTCGAGGGGAGGAGGAAGAGGAGACGGGGAGGATGAGGCGGAGGAGGAGGAGGAGGAGGAGGATGAGGAGGAGGAGGAGGACCAGTGCAAACCTTCCAGGAGGTCAGTAGCCGAGAACCTTCTGGGGAGGGCGGGCCGCCGCCGTCGTCGACCGTCGTCCGTCGTTATCGAAAATCGTCGTCGAATGTCGTCGTCGAACGTCGTCGTCGAACGTCGCCGCCGCCGTCGTCGCCGCCGCCGTCGTCGTCGTCGTCGTCGGCGGCGGCGGCGGAGGCGTCGTCGGCGTCGTCGTCGTGTCGTCGTCGTCGCCGTCGTCGTCGTCATGGTTGCCGTCGTCGTCGTCGTCGTCGTCGTCGTCGTCGTCGTCGTCCGTCGTCGTCGTCGTCGTCGTTGTCGTCGTCGTCCGTCGTCGTCGTCGTCGTTGTCGTCGTCGTCGTCCGTCGTCGTGGTAGCCGCCGCTTCCGCCGTCGCCGCCGCCGCCGCCGCCGCCGTCGTCGTCGTCGTCGTCGTCGTCGTCGTCGTCGTCGTCGTCGTCGTCCATCGTCGCCGCCGCCAGCTCTTGGGGTCTCGGAGGTCATGTGTACAGGGGACGAAGAGGTACCGACATCGCTATACTCTTGTCTCGTCGCCACGGCTGGATTCGCCTCGAAATGCCAGTCAGAACGCACCTCAGGAGGAGGAGAGGTCCTGGGAGCTGCGGTATCGGCTCTTTTCTGTTCTCCAACACGTGCAGGCGTCTCAAGGCCGTGAGGAACCTGCGGCTCTGCCTGCTTGGAAGAACCGCAGGACTGCCGAAAGAAATGTTCTCCACACGCCATGCTCCTGAAGATTTACGCACGCGCCATACCCACACGCGTGCGTTCTTTCAAATTTGCATGTTCCCACACGCCATGCACGCAAATGTACGTCCTAAGTTTGCGCACGCGCCATGCCGCAAGCGTGCGTACTGAGAATTTACGCGCACGTCATGCCTGTGCCTCGACTTTCGGAGCTTTTCTGAGGCACTGCGTCAGTTCTTGGAGGTTTTCTCGCCTCGGGATGGTTTCCAGCAACTGCGCCTCGCCGAGAGCGTTAAAGGGGGGGGGGGGCCCTCATCATCACATGGTCCCGAACGGCCGCTGGCGGCTTGAGTTACGCCCCCAAGGCCGCTCGGAGAAGGCAACACCCAGCGTTCTGCGGTTACTACGACGTTTCTTCCATGTTCTTGGGCGTCCTGGTACCGTCTATAGACGAGCGCGTTCCACTACTCGCAAAGTAGCTGCTCGCAAATGGCCTGGATCCGCCAGGATCTACGGTAAAATGCGTCAAAGCAGACATGTGTTTTTGGTACGTTTGCGAGTAGGCATTTTGCGAGTAATGAAACGCGCTCGGCGAGTCTATCGGCTCATACCGGCTCCGCATCGCCCAGAGGCCAGAGCGCCCAGGGTCATCCCGAACGGCCGCCCAGGGCCCGAGCTACGGCCCGACAGCCGACCCGCAGAAGGCACCTCCATGCAACACCTCTCTGGCCTGGCCAGGGCTACCGTGGGCCCCGGCAGGGTGTATACGCCCTCGTGGGCGAGGCCAGGAGCATCTACATAAACCGTCGCAGGGCGAGAGGATTTGCCCTCGGCAGGCACAGTGCTGCCAATGGTGAGGAAACGCGGACGGAACCTACGTGGTCGATTCTGGAAACCCTGCTACCAAAGATGCTGCTATCTCTTGGGAAACATCTTCCGACTGGCCTCGGGGTGCGACAGGGGGAGGAGCTGTTCATGAGGAAGGAAAATGGAGGAGGAGGAGGAGGAGGAGGAGGAGGAAGAGGAGGAGGAGGAGGAGGAGGGAGGGGGAGGAGGAGGAGGAGAAGGAGGAGGAGGAGGAGGGGGAGGAGGAGGAGGAGGAGGAGGAGGAGGAGGAGGAGGAGGAGGGAGGAGCAGGAGGGAGGAGAGGAGGGGAGGAGGAGGAGAGGAGGAGGAGGAGGAGGAGGAGGAGAGGAGGAGAGGAGGGGGGGGCGGAAGGAGGAGGAGGAGGAGGAGAGGAGGAGGAGGAGGAGGAGGAGGAGGAGCGAGGGAGGAGGAGGAGGAGGAGGAGGAGGACTTCGAGCTCCGCCTCCCGAGCCCTCTGCACAGCAGGCGCCGCCGAGGCGGCCGCAGGGGGCGGCCGCCGAGGGCGGTCGCAGTGCGGCTGCGGAGGCGGTGAAGGCTGATGGCAGTGGTGATGGTGGTGGTGATGATGACGGCTATAATGGTGCTGATGGTGTGGTGACAGTAATGGTGGTGACGACGACGGTGACGATCAATCAGCCCTACCTCCTCCTCCTCTCCTCATCTCCTCCTGCTCCTCCTCCTCCTCCTCCTCCTCCTCCTCCTCTCATCATCATCATCATCATCATCATCATCATCATCATCATCATCATCATCATCATCATCATCATCATCATCATCATCATCATCATCATCATCATCATCATCATCATCATCATCATCATCATCATCATCATCATCATCATCATCATCCTCATCCTCATCCTCATCATCATCATCATCATCATCATCATCATCATAGTCATCAACATCATCATCATCATCATCATCAACATCACCATCATCAACAGCACCATCAACATCAGCAGCCTCATCATCATCGGCGCCATCATCATCAACAGTTGCATCATCATCAACAGTATCCTCATCATCACCACCACCACCACCATCATCATCACCATCATCATCATTACCATCATTACCATCACGCCAGCATCATCATAATCACGACCAGCACGACCATCATCATCATCATCATCATCATCATCATCATCATCATCATCATCATCATCATCAGCATCACCCTCACCCTCATCTTCATCACCATCAGCATCATCATTCTCATCCTCATCAGGATCTTGCTCATCCTCATCCTCATCCGCATCCTCATCCTTATCATCCTCATTATCCTCATCATCCTCGTCCTCCTCCTCCTCATCATCATCACCACCATATATCACCATCCGCATCAGCATCACCATCATCGTCAGCAGCATCATCATCGGAGGATGCCTGGATCCTAGAATGTCCGAGACCGCAATGGAGACGCATCCACAACCTGGGAATAGACAATGTCCCAGGAACCCAAGGAGACAGTGGATGTGGACACCTTCGGGCCTCGGCGGGGGGGAGGGGGGGCAGAGGTATCAATGTCCACCGACCCACCGCCTCCTGAGGTCCTGGAACATCGTCTCGCAGGAGGTGGACACGCATGAATTCTTGACGCTTCGGGTATCCCCCCCAGCCCCTCGCAGCAGGTTGACACTGTGGTACTCGGAGTGTCGACGGTGTTCACCGACATTGAGGGTTACCGTGTCGGGACGCCTCGCCTGAGTGTTGCCGCCCGGTACAGCACCTTCCGGGCCTTTTCCACCGGTGCCGATTCGTCCGTCGGTCGCCGCTAGCCCCAACAACACTGAGGTGGTGTTCGTTGGCTGCGCGCTGAGTGGTCCAGCCTTCAGCGCCGACGGCCCTTGTTTTCCACCGCCAGCAGCCGGTCCCCCGGGCTGGTGCCAGTTGTTTGTCTGGGGAGATGCTCGGAGCTTGGCGCCGCAAGGGCGACTTCCTCCGTAGCTCTCGCACCACTGTTCGCTCGTTCTCTCTGGACTGGGCGGCGCCAAGGTGCGTCACTGCGAATGTGGAGCATTTTGTTCAGTGCACGTGCACCGCAAGTCTTGCGTGCAATTTGCCTGTACCGCCGTCCCGGACATGCCTGTTGCCGCCAGACCGTAGTCGCGCGGCCGCCGACCAAAAAAGTATCCCCCCAGCGATATTGAGCCCCCCCCCGTGCCGCGCGCGGAATTTAGGCCGTTGCTTGTTAGCCGCGTTTCTTGACGGCGCCTGGCACCCCTGCGCGCTCGCGAACAGAAAAGTATCCTCCCCAGCCCATCCAGAAACGATGCCGAGGAGAGCTGCATTGATCAGAGAGGAGTGGGAGCAACCAGCCTCTGCGCTTCTGGGCACCCCTCCCAGCGCACTCCGCGCCCCCCCTGCTGCTACTGCAGCCTGGCGCTCGCGACTAATACTGCAGGGTGCTCATCCTCGGTGCCGTGGCCACGGTGGCGCGCTCCCTGCCGCACTGCTTCCTTGCTCCTGCGTTTCCCACCTGGACCGCCGCCGCCTCGGCACAGAAGGGTGGCCCTTTCCCATCCCGCTGCCGCGGTTTGCCGCCACGGCGAGCTCCCCCTGGTCCAGGCGCGCCGCTGCTCGGCACAAAGGAGCGCCCCTGGGCCCTCTCTCTTCGGCTAGCCCGCCTTGCCACCCTTGGCATCGCCCCGCGTCCTGCCGCTTTTGGCGATCCGGACTCCCGTCCGTCGAGCACCTGCATGCAAGCTGGCCATTTCACTGGTGCCGACGCGCGGCTGGCTGCCTTCAGTCTGCTTACGACTTGCCTATCCCACAACGCGAACTGCTGTTCGGTCTTCGCCACTCGCTCGTTCCGACACCCAGTGGGCTGCTTCCGGCGCGCAGAAGGCTTACTCACCTTGCAGGGATGCGTAGCTCTTGCCGCGCTCAGCCCCCCGCGTGCTGTCCCTCGGACAAGCGCAAGCGCTTGCGGCTTCCGCTATCTCCCGCGGGGTTGCCCCACGCCGCAGTCAATACGGGACACCACACTGCCAGCTTATTACCCGCCACTTGGCGTGCACCCCCTGGCGGTTGCTAGCTGCCGATGGCACCCCCTCCGTGAGCGCCGCGCGGCCCGCCCCGCTATTCTCTCCTCCCGCTGCTTTGGACGGCGCGCGGCCCTTCCGTTTGAGCTCGCGAACGAGAGATCCCCCCCAGCCCATCCAGAAACGATGCCCAGGAGAGCTGCATTGATCAGAGAGGAGTGGGAGCAACCAGTAGAAGCATCTGATCCCTCCT